GAAGAGAGAAAAAGGAGAAGGGAAGAAAGGAAGCTAGGTTTGAAGTTGCAACATCATCATCATCTTGTTTCAAGAAAATCAACACTAGAGGTAAGGGTTTGACTTCCACCAATTATTTAGTGTGTGATTTTATAGTTTTGATTTTGGAATAAATTAGGGGTTTAGGGTATTAGTTTCACTACTATGTTATGATGAAAAAAAATTGGTAGATTGATGAAATTGAGAGATGATTTAGGACCCAATATAATTAGATAATATATATATATATATATATATATATATATATATATATATATATATATATATATATATATATATATATATATATATATATATATATATAAGGTGCCTTATTATGTTGTCTTGCAAACAAAAATTCCATTCTTGTTTGGACATTATTGTAGAGTTGTGTTTTATAGTAGCAGGTTGGAGGCACTTGCTTTTGGCATTTATTTTACAATACAGTAGCGATGAAAGGAAATAACACTTGGAAATACTTGTTGGCATTGCATTATGTAGCATTGAAAAGAGTTAATATTTAATAGCATATAATATGATACTGTAGCGATAATAAAAAGAAGTAGCATGTTGGAGTATGAATTTCATTATGTAGCATTGAAAAGAATTAATACTTTAATAGCATATAACTTGCAATACTATAGCGCGTAAATTGAAGTGGTGTTTAGTATTTAATGGCACTTGGAATGTTAGCTAGCTTACTGAAGTGAAGTAGTATTAGTACTGCTTGTTTTATGCTGTAGCGCAAGAAATGAAAGAATATTTAGTAGGTACGTGGCTACAGTAGCGCAAGATGAAGAGTATGTAAGAGTACATGTTTTGGCATATTGTAGTAGCATTAGAAGCAATGGCAAATGGGCTGTTACAGTGGCGCAAGAAAATGAATTAGTACATGAAAGGCACATGACTTCCATGCAGTAACACTTATAAGGGAGAAGTAACATTTAGGAGAATTAATTGAAACACTATAGCATTAAACTAATGAATTATAACAATCATGTTTTTATGATAAATCCAATTTTGACACTTAGAACTTAAGTTTTAAATTAACAATCTATTGTTAGTTTATGATATATAAAATATTTAATAATAATAATAATGATTATAATACTAATAATAAGTTAGTTTTATTAATAAAATAATTTTTAGGAGTTTTAAACTGGAGATAATTATTTTGGATTAATTGATTATTTTAAGTTAGTCTCAATTTCGGTGACAGAACTATATTATTGACAGTACAGGTTCGAATAGTAATGTAGTATTAATTTAACCGAGTCGTAATAAGAAAATTTAGTATAAAGTAGAAATAATAGAATTTTTGGACCGATAATTAATTTAACCAATTTTAGTCGAAATAGTCCGAATTATTATGCGGTTTATGGTAGTAATTTTGGTTGATCTATTGGGTGACATTTTTGTTGAAAAATGGAATTTTTGCAGGTGAAGTCGAATTAAGTTGAATGCTTCCGGTTTATGAAATTGTGTTTGATTTGAATAAATCATGGAAGTAACATTGTTTAAACTTGTACATTACTTGATTTGTGAATTATAATTGCAATGCATGTACAATTGTTGGCATTTCATTGTGTTGGAATATGTGGTATGTGTATGTTAAGGTCGGAAGTGGTCTTAATTGCATACGAGTTGTTGGTTGTACATTGCATGGCATGGTTGGTCTTGAAATAGAGACAGTGAAACAGTGGGTTCATATTTTGTAGACGTTGATCCTTGAATGGAAATAGACGTAGTGGCTTTGACCCGGAAAGGGAACATAGGCGGTGAAACATGGGTTCACAAAAATAGACGTTGATCCTATAGTGGAAATAGACGTAGTGGCTTTGACCCTATGTAGAAAAATAAGCGGTGGAACTTTGGGTCCACAAGTCGGTACCGCATTCGCATGTGTTGAGTCGTGTTGTGAGTCACATGCATAATTGTGTATATTGTGTATGTGTGTTGATGTGTTTGGTTATGTGCCAATATTGTTGTTGTTTGAATAATGGTTATGTGCCAATGATGTGAGTATTCGGATAATTGGTTTATATGGTTAATGTGTTGGAAATGGCTTCCTTGAGTACGGATACTATATGTGATAAAATGAATATGATCATGATGTGTTGCTTTATTTATTGCCATTGCTTTACCTTAATTACATGTTATATGATTATTGGAATTCTTACCCTTATGTTTGAAAATGCTTTTGATGGCATTGTTCAGGTACCGAGGATGGTAGCGCGAGGCGCTAGTTAGCGGATGCATTGGATTGCAATATGTTTTATTTTGATTAGAGTCGAGTCGATGCTCTAGTAGTAACACCTGGGGGGGGGGGGGTATATTTCGTGTCGAACTCGTCTATTTTGTATTCGGATTATGATGCATATAATCCTTACTTTGTGTATATTATTTTGTGTATGTGAGACTTGATAACATATGCTTTATGTGAATTATCATGGCTTGATGCCTTGAATTATGTTTTGATTCCTCCATGAATGGAGATGAAGTTAAATATTGAAACTCCGTTGCGTTTGCACGAGAGAAAGAAGTTAAATATTTGTGTATGTTTGTTTTGTGTTGATATGCTTAAATTTACAAACGTACCCTGTCTGTTTTTATTTAAAATTTTGGAATGTGATGTGTGTTGTGACATCCCTTCCGTGCAAATTTATTTTCTCTGATTTTAATTCTTGCCTTTTATTTGGGGTAATTAGAAGGGGTGTTACACAAACAATGGTTTAAATTTGGGGGTATTTGATAACGCGAAATTATATCGTATATTCGACTTGATTCACATGCACTTTTATATTACTTTTCATTCATTTTATCTTGTTATGCCGGTATTTCTATTTCATTTCAGATATTTACATATCACAAGGCTCGCATAAGAAAAGAGGAAGAAATGACAGAAAATGTGTGACTTTGTAGCAGAAAACAGAAGAAAATGCATCAAAGGTCTGTGATGGTCGTCACAGCCTCCTCCCGGTCGCCATAATATTTGTGTATGTGTGCCCCTTGGCACATATGTGTTCCGGTCGACACGCTTTCAAAATATGTGTGCCCCTCAGCACACATGATGTCACGATCGGCACAAGTTGAAAATATGTGTGCCCCACGACACACATTGCATGGCGCTTGGCACAAGTTAATTTCAGTGTTAAACACGAAGTTCTCTCCACGTCCACAACGAAGCTCTCATGATTTTCTCAACTTCTCCGACCATGATCTACATTATCGTCGCTGTCTCCAACTTTCCACTATGTCCACCTTCTTCAACTTCCCATGATCTCCACTACCTCTCACATGTTAACTTCCATTAGTTCTCTCTATAAAAATGATGAAGCATTCATTTTTAGTTTTATCTAAGTTTTGTACACGGAAGCACTTTATAGTTTTAGGCAGCATATTACTCATGTAAAAGTGATAGTTTCTCACATTGAGGAACTACCACACCATTAGTGTAGGCCTATAATTTGTAACGCTTGGATCAATCTTGCCGATATTATTCAAAGCTCTATTCAATTTTCAAGATTTATTTTATTCAAATTTTATTCAAGTTTTATTCCAAGTTTATTTATTTGCAATTATTTTAGTTTCTTGTTCTTATAATATTGTTTTATCATTACAAATCTAAATATGCCTATGTTATTGGTTAATAATTATAATTGCACGTTTGTTTCTTTAAGAATGTACGGCTAAATAGTTTTGAGTCCGGTATGTGAGGACCTTCGTTCTCGACAGGACTCGGTAATAAGTTGGCTTAATATCTGTTTGAAAATTCAGTTTCGGTCTTTATTTTTGAACTTAATTTAAATAGCTTAGTCACGAGAGTTGGATGTTACTTAACACGATTTTGCCACGAGAGTGGGAAAATAACTAAGGTTCGAGCCCACACTGTGAGAGCGTGGGGGTCGAATCGGATAGTAGAAACTAGGCATTAATTCTAAACACAACGAGAGCGCTTTAGGATTAATTAGAACTTGTTCAGTTTTCAAAACACATTCCTTAATTAAAATTGGCGAGCGAGAGCAAAATCTCATGGTTAAGGAATGCGACTTTATTCAAAACCACGAGAGTGTGAGGTTTAGTCTTTAAATTGATATTTTCTACTAGACACATTTTTAACATCAGTATAGGCCAACGAGTTACAGAGTCTCAGAGGTACGCGGAATACACATTCCGGTCTCTCTTTTCATATATATATATATTTCCTTAACCTTACTTTATTTCAGTTTTAGTTCTTAGTTTCCCTTAAATTAATCATTCATTAGCCTTAGCTTTACAAAGCAACGCTAGATTACAGTAGGTTGACATTGGTCTCTGTGGGTTCGACAATCTTTTATATTACTTCTATATTTCCGTGCACTTGCGGACGCAACAGTTTCTCTATTACAAATCTCATAAAGTTAGATATGGAAAAGTAGAAGTTATTTGGTTGGCTATTTCTTGGAATATCTGGATCCTTAGAAACAACATTACTTTTGAGAATCATGGATGAAGTGTTCTTGATGTAGTTTGGACCATTAAAATTACGGGTTGGAAATGGTCCCTTATTGGTGATATTGCTAAAACCAAATGCAATTTCTATGAATTTTGTAAAAATTCGTTGCATTTCTTATCGTAGGAATAATTGGTTAGCAATTTCTCTTTTGTCGAGTTGTACAACTCGTTTCTTGGTGAATTCTAATATACATTAAAAAAAGTATGTAGTATAATAGAAAGAATTCAGTTTTAAAACACAAATATAAATTGCTTCCAAAACAAGAAAATTAAGAAAGTAGTAAATTTGGATCAAATTTAACAATTCACTCGTCTATAGATAAATTAACCATACAAAACAATGCTCGTTACTAGCTAATTAATTAAATAATTAATTTGAAATTAAAATTTTAGAACAAATAAAATCAAACAGAAGATGAGTTATTTTCACCAAGAAAAAAATAGTTTCTTGGGCATGTACAAATAATAAAATCCATGCATTGAAGTGATCAAAAGAATTTTCTTGTACCAGTTGGTGCTGATGAATCATGTGGCTCAGGCCCTAATCTCAGTTCTAGGTCTAACTCCATTGGAGAATGTTGACCAGACGATAACAAAGCCTCTTCTGTAGTACTAGTAGCAGCAGTAGTAGTTTCACCTTGTGATAATTGTGGCTTTTGCATTTCACTTTTTGTTGGTGATTCAGAAAAAAGTGGAAGTTGTTGTCTCACTTGAGTCACAAGAGTTTCATCAACATCTCTTGGAGCATGGTGTTGATCTTGTTGTTGAGACTGACACAAAACAATATTAGAATTCAAGTTTGGTAATAATAACTTGTTTGCCTCTTGAATATCACTAGAATTTGCCTCCATATTTGAAGATTGTTGTTTGAGTTTTGCTTTGTCTTTTCTATGGATATTCATGTGTCCACCTAGTGCTTGTGCATTAGAGAAACCTCTCTTGCAGAAATTGCACTCGTAGGATCTAAGGTTGACCACTTGTTTTGCATCACCTTGATCATCTCCACCACCTTGTTCATATTGATCAGACTCCATTCAATGATTAGTTTCTAGTAGTTATGTAATGATGAAGCAAGTAAGTAAAACTATATATTATAATTTATAGATATTAATATTGGTAGCTAAATGGTCAACATAGGGAAATTATATATATGAGAAGTGGGACATATGCTATGGCCTGCATTTCATCATTATACTATTGTATAGAATGGCATGGAATGAGAATGCAACTTCCTCAAGTACTTGGGACAAATTGAGTAAAGGACAAAAATATAACTTGGTCATTGTATAGGGAAATTATTTTTGTCTCTTTGTTTCTTGGCTTGAACCTCTTTGCCTACGCTAACTTCAAATATTGTCGCAAAGACAAACAATGTTTTTTGTGTGACAAAAGACACAATGTTATCATCAGAGTTTTCATTAATATAATAATAGTTAAGGTTAATTGGTATTTTTTCTTCAGTTTAATTCTCAACCCAACGTTAAAAGAGTGAAGAGATAGAGCATTCCTTTAGTAAGTAGCTTGCATTCTAATTTTGAGCATATATCCTACAAAATCTACTCATCCAATTTTGAGAAAATGGAGTCACTACAAGAAAAAGTGTTTTGCAACATTTATTTTAAAGCTTTTTTAAAGGTTTTAATCGTCACAAATTGACCTTTGTGACGGTTTTGCAACGTCGAAAGTACATTCGTCAGGCCACTTAGCTGACCGTTGTTCTAACCATCATATAAAGTATTGTGACTATTTCAAATCACCTTTACATGTTTTTATGGTACGATATGTAGGTGTTGTTAAAATCACTTTTTTTTAAAGGGTCTTGCAATAGTTTTTAACCGCCCATGTATGTTTTGTTCGAAGTTTTAAGCTGTTGCAAAATGCATGTTTTCTTTGTTGGTAGAATATTGCGACGGTTTACATTTGTCACAAAGTTTTATTTATGGTTTTTTTAATAATATTATTTTTAAATTGAATAATAATTAAGTTCAAGAGAAACTATAATAAATGAGTTATTATAAAAATAAATACACATAAAAAAATATTTTCAAGTAATGTAATGTTTTTTATTTCAAGTTACTTATGCAGAAGTTCTTCAAGAAAGATCCCTCAGATTGTAGCAGTACAAATAACAAGTGCAATCTTTAGCGTTTTCATAAAGATTGGTTGTGTTTCAAAAATTATTTAATAATTTTTATTACTTTAAGTTTGATTTATCAGAAGATTGATTGTTTCGTGAATACTTGAAAAGTAAAATAATAAAAAGTAAAAGTAAATTTTTGGTGTTTCAACAGTGAAAAAACTTTGTTGGAGTTAGATTTCATTGATTTGTTTTTATGTAGTCTCATTGACTAGTAATATACAATTCAAATCATATATTAATATTACAATATGAGACTCTCATCGCATCTCATGTATGAGTAAACGACGTGAGATCAGTCGTATTGCCTAATAAACGATCTCTCAACCTATTAACCAATACTTCAACATTAAGTTTCAACAGTAAATGCACATATTACTGTCCATTTTCATCAATATCATCATTAAATGAGGGGTATTATACCTAAATCTATGTGTAGACTTTAGCACTTAATATATGACAGTCTTGGATCTAGTAATGACCAGTACCTTTCGAATATCAAGTCATTATACCATGAAAATATATTTTATGTAGCTAATCCAAAATAAGCATTAAGAACGAAGAACCCATCAATATTAAAATTTAAGAAGAATTACATAGAGCGCCATTGTCTGGATCAAAACATAAGTAACAAGACAACTACATCTAACCCCAACAAAAGATAAAATTAGTTGTGCTTTCTCATTGTAGCTTTACAATCAAGCCCTGAAAGAAAAAAGTTGAAAAGCATTTGTTGACGATTCCTCAAACATCTCTCCCGTTCTTGATCTTCCTCTCATATTCTCTCGTGTTTTGATTTATGGCGAGAACCTATTTTCTTTGAGGAACCACCTCGAATCCATTGACTTTCGATCTCCTTAAATAACTTTCTCACATGCTTGCTTAACGCACTTATTTTCTACTAGGTTAAGTAATTCCAACTACCCTATCACTAGACTTGCCACCTAAGCTCGCTAAGCGCACTTCCCATGTTCGCTTAGCCACCAAAATCTTGCTTCAACTTGAATTAATTTAACCCTAAAGTCTATGAATCGTCTTTGCTCGCTAAGTTCATTTGTGTTTTCATGCTTAGCGAGGTTTCACCTTTGCTTGCTAAGCGTGTCTGTATTCTTGGCTTAAAGAGCCTTTATTTGTTGGAAAAGTTCTTAGCTTGGTGTCTTGTGGTGCTTTGGTGATTTCTGGATAATTTTTTATTGTTTTAAATCAATGCATAGTTAAAATGTCCAAACAAGCACTTTATCAGCTGTAGGTGAAGCAAGCTTTCATGTTTGGATCCATGTTATCAAAATTGGTCGTGCCTAAGTGTTGGTCAGCAGGTGCAACAGGGTATGGTAGTGGTTTTTATGGCGCTCTTCTTCTTTGACCAAAACAGTATCAATAGACAAAGGTATTGTCTAATTTAGTAAGCAGAAGTGGTGGTGGTCTAGTATGTCCGTATTGGATTGTTTTTAGAATCCCATAACCAAACCTAGAAATACAAGGGCATTGCTTATATGAGAAACCAATGATTTTCCATATTTTGTAAGATATCACCTTGGATATATCCACTTGTTTTCACTTTAGAATTTACCAAATCAACTATCATTGTATAATGTAGTAGAAGAGGTGTGGTTGTTAGGAATAATGTTATGAAAGAGGAATGTCATCCATATATAGGTCTGGATGGTTATGTCAGATCTCTTGAAATAGATGGGTCTCCCACCACGTCTTAAATAATATGTCTTCCCATCCTCACCATATCACCTGCTATGTGACCATACTCATGGTTTCTTTTGGCCAGTTGGGCAACAAACAAATCTAGTTTCTTTAGGTTGGCCCTATAATTGTCTTTAATATATGGATAAGTGACTTCCTTATCAAAAGGAACCATTTGGCCTTGAACCTAAGATAACATTTTAAATGTAGCATCTTCTGTTGGCTTAGAATTTGTGTAAAATTCCTTAATGATGTATACGTTGATGTGCTTTAGAGGGTGATCTAAGACACCCCAACATCTAGTGTTGATCTCTTGGACAATATCGAAATAATAATCTAGGACTTCTAGTTTATTTATCATTCATGGCCATGTTGAATCCTTCAAAATCAACATATAATTCTTCATGTCAATGGTTTTCGGAAAAATGTTCATCATATGGTGTATTGGATGGTCATATGTTAGAGGATTACCTCTTACTTCCAGCACTTGATTTCCTTGAATGCATCAGCACAATCAATCAATAATATACAAGCATTGCAACATTGTTAAGTAAAATGATTAAATGTACATAGTTGCAGTCTTTCCATTATGCATGTTGTTTTAATAGAGATGATGGAACTCTAGGTAATGCATGCAATTATTTTAATTCACAATCAATTTTTGCATAAACTCTCATGTTGTGATTTATGGTGAGAACCTCTTTTCTTTGAGGAACCACCTCGAATCCACTGACTTCCGATCTCCTTAAATAACTTCATGGCTCCCCTATTTACAGGATTGGGAAAAGTAGGACCGTTAAGAGCACCTCCCAGACATGCTCAATGCGCGTACTTTCTAATAGGTTAAGTAATGCCAACTACCCTATCACTAGTCTTTCCTCATATGCTCTCTAAGCGTAATGCCTACGCTCACTTAGCCACCAAACTCTAGCTTCACCATGAAGTAACTTAACCCTGAAGTCTTTGAATCACCTTTACTCGCTAATTAAGCACACTTGTATTTCCTGGCTTAGCGAGGTTTCACCTTTTCTTGATAAGAACACTTGTATTATTGGCTTAGAGAGCCTGGGTTTATTGGTAAAGTTATTAGCTTGGTCTATTATGGTGTTTTGGTGATTTCTTGATTGTTTTCTCCTCTTTTAAATCAATGCATAGTTAAAATGTTCAAACAAGCATTTTATCATGTTTATGAAGACACATATTCTAAAGAAATAATTCAAAAGATCTGAAGACTCAAAGCTCAACTTAAAGTCCATATGATAAAGACTCAAGTTTCTAAAGAAAGTGTGTTCCAAAAAAACAAAGTTAGAAGATCAGAAGACAAAGTTCCTACTGAAGTCCAGATGCTAAAAACTTAGTTTCTAAAAATACAACATGTTTCAAGAAGACAAAGTTAAAAGATCTGAAGACAAAGTTTCTACTGAAGTCCAGATGCTGAAGACTCGTGTTTCTAATAACAAGGTTCTTAGAAGGATTCTTAAAGAACCAAGTGCTAAAGATTCTAAATATGGAAGTTCTGAAGATTCCAAAGACTTAAAGTTCTAAAGATACAAGGTTCTATACAGTGGGTTCTCAAGACCAAGTGTTGAAGAATTTAAAGACGCAGTTAGTAAGACTCTGAAGAATTGAAGCTCTTCTAATCCAATGTTCTCTACAACAAGTTATCATGACCAAGTGATGAAGACTCTGAAGATGCAGTTCTGAAGACTCTGAAGACTTAAAGTTATGAATACCTTATGTTATGTCCCCGCTTCTAAACTCATGCTCGTAGAAGCCTTTGAAATGCAGAAGGAAGGAATATAACGTTAACATGGTACAATAATACACAGAACGAAAAAGCCTTATTCCACTACCTCTCCACTAGCTTGAATTTAGGAAGAGAAAAGGACGTAGCAGTACTATTTGTAACAAATCTTTTTCAAATATCCAACATCTCTATTTTGCTTGGCTATATAAGAAAAGAATTGTATGTTTAAAATTTTGTTGGTGTTCAATGTTAAAATGAAGGCTATCATTATTGGAACACAACCAAAAAGCTATCAACCACTATAACAACAAAAAGAACAATTGTTATTAAAATGATTTTTCAATTATGTTGATAATGATTAAAATGAAATAATTTATTCACAATGTGCTTAATTTCATATGTTGCACAAAGCTTGTTAATCAATAAAAGATAATTAAGATGGTCATGAAAGCTCC